ACCCCCTGCACCCATCCCACCCGGGGACCCACAGCAGCCGCGGGGCTGGCGGCAGGTCCCGCTACACCCACGAGGGCTAGTGCCACGGGGCAGATTGCCCACTCTGGAGCCCGCGCTTCCCCCGGGGAAGGAGGAGTGGGCACACGGCTCGGGGGGCACCCACGCGCGGAGGGGGGAACCCGCGAAACCCCTGCACACGGCACGGGCTGCGCACCCACGGGGGAAACCCGAGCCCAAGTGCTCTGAACTTGTGAACCGCTGCCCGAGCCGCGTGTGTGCGCGTGCGTGCGTGCGTGCGTGCGCGCTGGCCCTGCACAGCCATGGAGCATTTACACGAACACGCCCATAGGGAGTAGGTCTATTTACCTACACGTCCATATCCGGAATGCGCGTGTTTGCACACCCGCACAAGTCTGCAGTGTGCATTTACACAGACTCATATTCATCTGGAGTGCGCCCGCTTGCACACCCCCACGGATCTGGAGCATGTACATGCCCTTATATCTGGAGTGTGCGTGTTTGCACATACCTAGAGACCTGTAGTGTGCGTTTATGTGTGCACACATATCCGGAGTATGCATCTTTATACACACGTGCAGATCTGGAGAGTGTGTTTACACGTGCACACATATATCCAGGGTGCGTGTGTTGCACATGCGGACAGATCTGCAGTGTGTATTTACTCGTACACACATATATCCGGCGTATACGTGTTTACACAAACGTGCAGATCTGGTGCGTGTCCAAATTGTGCATGTTTGCTTACACGGACAGATCTACGGTGTATATTTACTTGCACACACATATACTCGAAGTGTGCGTGTTTGCACATCCGCACAGATCTGCGGTGTGTATTTACACATACACACGTATATTCGGAGTGTGCGTGTGTACAAACAGGTACAGATTTGGAGCGTGTATTTATACGTACACCATGCGGCGGGGTTGGGGTTGTTCACACGGAGATATATTTCTGTATTGGATGCGTTTACACCCACGCACATACGGAGTATGTTTACACACACGTGGATCTGGAGCAACTGGGTGTGTAGCACACTAAACACAGCGGGGGTGTGGGCGCGGGCACACCTCCCTCCGTGCAGCCGCCCACCCGAGTACACCCGTCTCTCGTGTCCACAGCTCAGGCGGCCCCGGTGCACCGAAACACACACGGCCCAGCCCTTTACATGCTAATTAAATCGAATTAGCCGCCTTCCGAGGGCTAATTCGAATCATTCACTGGGACTTCAAGCGGGGCAGGAAGCTGGGCTGTCTGCCTGGGGGCTTTGGGGGTGCCAATGCCTCCCAACTCCATCCCACGGGGCAGGACTGGAGCCCGTGTCACTTCTCAGCGTCCCGGGGCCGCGGTGCGAACAGGCGAGGAGCCGCGTCCGGACGCGTGTTAAGGGGAGCGGCGCAGGGGGATTGAGAGACACAGCACCAGAGACAGACTCAATACACGAAGACAGACACAACGGACAGAAACAACACACGGAGGCGGACAACAGGCAGACACAACACACAAGAGAGACAACACACGGAGACAGACACAACAGGCAGACACTATATAGAGACAGACACAACAGACAGGCACAACACACAAGAGAGACAACACACGGACACACACACAACAGGCAGACCAAACACACAACAGGCAGACACTATATAGAGACAGACACAACAGACAGACACAACACACAAGAGAGACAACACGCAGACACAACACACGAGACAGGCACAACGCATAGACACGGACAGACAACACACACTCCTCCAGGGCATCCAGAGGCCACCGCGCGGCCCAGGCTCCCCCCACGCGCGATCGCCTCACGCCCCACTCAACCCGCGCAGGCTCCGCGGGTCGCGCAGGTCCCGGCTGGGCCGAGCCCCGCACCCCCAGCCCCAGCCCCGCACTGCACTTCGCCCGGGGGACGGGGTCCTCCAGGATTTCCACCTCCCACGCAAGGACACGTGGGAAGGCGGGCATCCTTCTCTCCTGGGCCACGCTGAGCTCCCGGGACCTGCACAGAGGCCCTGTTGCCTTGCACTGGTGCAGTCAGGGGTGTGTGTGGGGGGGGAGGGGGGAACCTGGACTTGGACACGAGTGGTTTTGGATTAGCACTCTGCTCCAGGCCTGATCCCGGCAGGCTGAGCTTGAGCTTTGCCCCTCCGCGCACTTCCCTGCAAAAAAGACACCTGCCTTGGTCCTTCCACCGCCACGGCCATGACGGGGGAAACGCCCGTGGGTCCTGAGGTCGGGCCAGGAGAGGAGGCACGGGTGGGGAGGCAGGAGGGGACTTGGTTACTCTCCCACACGCACACACACAACACTCACACACACGGCCTTGGGATTATACACCCCCAGGCACGCACACACACCACCTCTCCCTACCCACGCGTGTCCCACGCCGGAGAAGACGGAAAGACTCTTGTTTGGCTCAGGAGAAAGCCTGGTCGCCCCACGGCTTCACTGGCCTGGAGCCTGGGGGGCAGAGCTCTCCTTCCCACGCAGAGTGGGGTTTGCAGGGCTCGGCGGCGAGCACTAGGATGGGAACATTTTGCAAGCTCCCCGCACTCGTGCCCCTCTCTCCGCCTCCCCCGAGCCTGGGGCCGCGCGGGGAAGGGGAGACAAGCCTGTGCGTCCACCTGAAGGTTGCATTTCAGGACTTTTTATTTATACATATACATTTTTAGAGTCCATTTGGCTGGTTGGCAAGCAATAGGGACGGGATTCCCGTGGCTTATTCACAGAAGGAAGGTTGGAAGGGAGCTCAGGCGGTCACATCTAGTCCAACCCCCTTCTCCAAGCAGGACCAGCCCCAACTACATCATCCCAGACAAGGCTTTGTCTTAAAAAAACCCCAAGGATGGAGACACCACCACCTCCCTGGGTAGCCCATTCCAGTGCTTCACCACCCTCCTCGTGAGAGTTTTTCCTCATCTCTAACCTCAACTTCCCTTGCTGCAGCGTGAGCCCATTGCTCCTTCTGTCAACTGCCCTCACTGAGACCAGCCCAGCTCCATCCTCTTTGCAGCCCCCCTGCAGGGAGGTGAAGGCTGCTATTCAATCCCCCTCGGTCTTCTCTTCTGCAGACTAAATCAGCCCTGTTCCCTCAGCCTCTCCTCTCCTCACCAGTCATGTCCCCCCCCAGCTATTTTCGTTCCCAACTCTCCAATGTGTCCACACCTTTCTGTAGTGGGGGGCCCACAGCTGGACACAGGACTCCAGATGTGGCCTCCCCAGTGCCCAAGAGAGGGGCAGAATCACTGCCCTCCATCTGCTGGCAACTCCTCCTCATGCCCCCTCATGCTACCTTCTCCCAGCCCCAAGAGCCAGCCCTGGGGGCTGTCCCGAAGCAGCCAGATGGGCCTGGCAGGGTCTCCTCCCCCGGAGCTGGACCGGATCCGGCCCTGCCTGTGCCGGGTGGTTCTGCTTTCTTCTCCGGGAGCCGGGGCAGGGGGTGTCGGAGAACCGGGAGGCTCCCAGCCGCCTGCCGTGGACGCCGGGATCCGTCTGATTCCCAGGCTGGAAAGAAGCAAGCAAAGGCGCGCATGAAATCTCCCTTCCCGGCTCGGCGCGCTGCGCTCCAGCCGCCCCTCGCCGGCTCCTGCCCGCTCCCTCCGGGCCGGCTCCAGCACAGAGGTGGGTCCCCCGTGGGACCTGGCCGTGGGTCCGCCCCCCTCTTCCCCCGCACCCACGGGGCCCGATCCTGGAGGGGATCCGCCAGCTGCACCCTCAGAGTCGGCTCCAGGCTCTGTGGGTTTCCAGCCCCGGCCTGGGGAGAAGCCCGTGGGAGCCAGGCTCGGGCACACGCGTGACCCCAGTGGCACGGATGCAGCCTGGACCTCATGCCCGAGAACAGAGGGGAGGAGCATGGGTCCCCGAAGCTCTCCGGTCCTCCTACAACCGACGAGCT